CATACATACATACATACATACATACATACATACATACATACATACATTAATACATTACATACATCACATACATGCATACATACATACAGACATTACATTACATTACATTACATTACATTACATTACATACCTGCCTGCCTACCTGCCCATACATTACATACATTACACCCATACATACATACATACATACCATACCATACCATACCATACCATACCATATGTACGTACGAACGTGGGTACGTACATATATATATATATATGTACACATGATTATGCATGCATACATTACATCACATCACCTCACATTACATTACATGCATGCATCAAAATGTTGCACAAAAGCCTGACAACATACCTTAAAACCCTGTCAGTACTTTCTCACTTTGTCGGTTCATAGCTCGAGGCCGAAACTTCGTTTCCCCACTGCCACAACCCTCAGTCGATTGGGGTCACCAGCCTGTATAGGCCATATATATATATATATAGGCTGCATAGGAAAACTAAACCATTCACTCCTGGAAAAAATAATCATGGAAGTGGAAAGTGGGCGCCCATTGGAACCAAATGAGACCAGGCTTCTCATAACACTCCTATTCCGGCAAAGATTGTCTAGCAACCATGGCAATGTTTCAATCAATCACTAAACACATGTCGAAGCATCATTCTCCTGGCCGCTAAAGCCATTCGTGATTGACAAGCAGCGTATGGCAGAGCCAAATGATGGCAAGTGCCTACCTTGAGTCTCCTTGTCATTCCTATAGTTCAAGGCCACTCAATGGGATGGAGAACTGTCAACAAAAGTCTATCTCTTCGGATTGCCTCAATGTACTCAAGGTTCGAGATCTCATCGACATTGACGCTGACGATCTGCGCATCTAGAGGAGGTGAACCGCATCTAGAGGACGTGTGACCGCGCTCCGCCTGTCAACTGGCATGTGGGATGGTACCCACAGCTCGATCGAAGATCCGAGAAACACAGTTTACGAACCATCTAGCATCCTCTTCCAGCTGAATTCGAACCCGCATGGGGTCGCTGGTGGTTGACCCAACATATGTATATATATATATGCGTATATACCTAGAATGATTGACCCTTGTTTTGGAGACAAAAACAATTGTCTTCTCCTATCAAAAACAAAGGTCATGTCTGGGTTCTAGGATGTTCTAGGATGCACGCCACAACATCATTTGCGGACTCCTGCGACATGACTCCTACGCCATGTTGGCCGTCCACAAGCTGGTCCTGCTGCGACGGGCTTCCATGGCCTCACCGCTGGTATGTACAGGTTCTCTTGACGGAGCCCTGTGGGAGGTGCCAATCGAAACCATGGGAAAACCATGTTTAGCCGATCTGCTCCCGTCCCGATCATGTCACTAAAAGCAACAGGAAGACCGCCTCATAATGTATCGTGTCTGCATCACCCGTGGGACTAGCGGGACATGGGTTTGCAAGTGTAGATTGAAAAGCACATGGTGACGAGTGGCCAACACCTTGAGAAACAAGGGACGCGTCTGATACGCCGCCCTGCAACTGTATGCTCGTTGATTTTTGGTTGTTTTCTTGTCTGTGTTTTTGTTATTGGTACAATAGATTTGTATTAGAAGTGTCTTTACCAGTGCATCAGCGTTTAGCAAATTGAGGAAAAGGTTCGGAAAAGTGTTCTTGAAGGTCTGATGATCAACGATCTGCAGTAATGTAAAAGTTCAGCCAAGAGTTCCTTCATGACAATTGTTAATTTGCAACACTTTGCAACTCAACACGCAAGTTTATTTCACTCAACAGCTCGTGCGGAAAAAAGTGTTCCTCCAACTTGAAGAGTCGTTACTTGAACTGTTTATTTGTATCTACAGTAGATGTGGATGTTGTATAGAAGCAAATGTAAATGAAATACAAAGAAATACGTTGTAATATGTTGTAATACACAAAGGAAAACGCAGTGAGGTATGTATATCTACATCCTTACATCGCTACAAGCACGAGCTAGAAACAAGAACATCAAGGAACCAACGTGGATCCTACACATGTGGCGCAACTTCTCCTCTTATATTAATAATTCCATTCTAAAAGATCTTGTTCTGATTCGCTTCTCCTCTTGAAAAAATGATCTACCTCTTCTCAATCCGAATTGGAATAGATACTATCTTGTTTTGCTTATCTTGTTTTTGAAAGCCCAGCCCTTCCATGCATGATCAGCGCTGTTTTGTCTGGGTCTTCTGTAGCCTTGAGCAATGCTATCCTCTAGTTAGCTCTCAATACTCAACACGCCTCATGCTAGCTCTGCTAATTCCTAATGATTTGTAACTTTCTCAAGTACCTATTCTGATATCGTTATTATTGAGCTATTGAGGTGTTCAAAAGAATACTATATAGTATATAATCCCAGAAGGAGAAACACTGTGAAATAAACAAGCACTGAGCACAAAAGAAAAACCCACTGAGCTAAATGGCTGAACACTGGCGGGAAAAAGTTGAACATGCAAACATGTAAGAATTGTCATGACCTATCACGACTTATCTATTTATACTTATCCAAATATATCCAACTCATCAATAATGATCCCATTCCACAAGGGCATCATGATGCAGCCTTCAAGAAGCCCCAGGGCCCAGTAGTCTTAGACGGCCACGGGCCCCATTTAGTCGACAGCTGGCTATACCTCTTACGACTATAGGGTAAGGTGGCCCTCACCACAGGCGGCCTGATGACAAGGTGTACACACGACAGGAGGTATGGTTTCGACTTTTGACCCCACTCATGTCCAAATCACAACCCACAACATCCACGGTTCCGGCCGGTTCCACGAGGTTCCCGGTCAATCGGGGTGTTCTTCCCATGAATGGCGCTCCGGGCGTCCGGACGTTTCCAGCGGTCGACCGAGCTGAAAGGTCGGAAGGGCGAAGGTCCGGCATCTGTCGGTTGAAGGCGAGTCAGTCGGTGAAGAACGAAGACAGATGGGGTGTGTAAAACAGGTAAGAATAACGATCAGGAGTCACGTTCTACGGGGTGGTGTGTGAATCATCCCCTTACGTGAGGGTAGTGTGGCTCGTCCCCTTACGTGAGTGGATGTGACAGAGGCACCCCGACTACCTCCATGGATAGCACCCCTTTGTGACTGCTGGCATGATCTGCTTTCTTTTTACGACACTATGGTTCTTGTTCTGTTATATAAATGAATGTGTGTTTGGCAAAACATCTTCTACACTCAGACTCCCACTAGCTCACAGGTGTCCACCCCTCATGAATCCACTCCGCTTCAGACTCACATCGACCCGGCTCCGTCCTGGTCCCATGGGAAGACGATTTTCCTCTATAGAAACCAACGGTTTTTCAGGTTCCATGGGATCGTCTTCCACCCTAAGGATCCGAGTTCCGACCCTCCAGTCTGAAGGGGATCGAACCCTGCTGTTCACAAGGGGTGACAGGCCCCCCTTGCTGGGGCTATCCGTTCGGCCCACCCCCGAACCGAAACGTCGGTTCGGTGGAGGGGTCTGGTGGGTGGATCTGGGGGGTCGAATGCCACCGAACCTGAGGATATGGGCCAGGAGCCCTATGGGGGCCAATTCAAAGAAGCGATTATACTCTGCCCTAGTGAGTTTGGGACTTGTGAAATGACTGTGCAAATTTCAAAGTTCCATCTCATGTGTTTCCAAGTGTATCCACAACTCCCATCTCATCCTGCATTTACCATCAAAATCAAGATCAGCTGAGGGTAGTTTTGCTCATCTCTTTGAATTGGTGTATTCCAAAGGGGGACGCTTGACTCAAACATCACAATTAATTAATACAAGTTGTATTTCGATTGGTTTATTTATTGTTCAATGAAGCACGCTGTAATTTTTAATGGGGTATACATCACGAAAACATTATTACACGATTGAAAACAAAAAACATAATAGTATAATTCCTATCTCATGTGCCTCCTGAATGTTTTCAGTCAACTTTTCTCAGACACATGTATCAGGACTTGTGCAACAAACAACCCGTCTCATAATTTGCACAACTCCTAACTCATTTGGGGGTAGTATAGATGGAATTGATCCTGTACAGGAAGGCAGTCTTTGCAAAAACTTTCACGAGAGTAAATGGGTCAAGACCGCAATCTTTGAACATACCCCAAACTCTTTACGATATTTGGATAATTTGGGATATCTTTAGGATGATTCCGGCTTGAGCGGGTGTACGACCCCCTCGAAACGCACGGAGCGGATGCAAAATCACAGCTTCCCATGGACCACCCGCAGATCCAGATTTGTGCTGTGTACTCCGTTGAAGAGGACAACACACACAAACCCGGAAAAACAAAGGAAAACACTGGTGCAGCTAGAGAAAAGGAGTCTTTAAGGCTGCTTAGTTGATCTTAGTTGTATGTATTTGGTCTGCATCCTGTCTCACAGAGGGTGTTGCAGAGTACATCCCCAAGTTCCTGGAGTAGTTCCTGATGGTCACTTGTCACTCGAACTATGGGACCATTCATCATCATTCATTCCAGAGGCACGTGTGGAATATATGCCCACATTGGCCCCTGAAAGCAGCCGATGTGAGTATTGTAATGTATGCCAGTCCATTGGAGTATTTGGGTTCTACTCAGGGATTGACTGTGGAAGAGTCACAATCTTAAAGCCCTTGTGAGGTCCTTGTCCCACACATGTTAACAAGTGCCGGGTGACTGACCCCTATACCATTCCTAGTGGATCCAGCACTGCACCACTCTAGCACATGTCCGTCCGGGTGACTCACCTCCGACGTGGTTGGCATTCGGCCCGAGTCCGGTCTAGTCCCGAAGGTCCTGTTCCGCCGAGGTAAGGTAGATACAAGGAAGGTCCATACATAGAAGACCGCGGGGAATGAGGGTGGCTGGATCCAATAGAATCTCTAATTACTATTGGGGGCTCATTCCCTCACAGTATGAATATGGAAGGTCCCTTCTACTATCAAGCATGTAAGGGAAGGTCCTTTGTCCTTGGAGTATGGAATCGATGGAATAGTTGTCTGTGTGATCTACATACCAGGAGCATCCTGTTCAGGTGTCCTGTCTGAAGATCCCTAAATAGTGTGGCGTAGTCCAGCCAGGACACCCACACAGGTTGGTCCTGGTACAAGTATGTTCATAAACTGGGGTAAATGTAACATGATGAAACTATTCCTGTCCGGATGGTCTTGCATCACTGAGTGGCGACACACTGCAGAGCCCAAGTCTTCGCCACCAAGCCTTTCATCCAAACCCACTCTGCCCCAAGTCTTAGACAGCATCGGAAGACTCCATGCACAGCCCTCTAAAGTGCTTTCAAGAATTGACATTGTCCTTCTCTAGCACCCGGAAGGAGCGGTTGTTGGATGGAAAATACATATTAATATAGTCAGGAGTCAGGGGTGTCTATATATAAACCACTCTTTCTGTGGTGCTGGCTTTCCTTTTTTGGTTGTCATCCAAAGAATCCTTGAAGCCTCCGGGGGGCAAAGCAGCCTCCGGGTAGTAGGGTTCACCCTCAACACCGTGGCCTGGATTCTGATGGGTCGACGGCAGCTGTGATTGTCGCAAATGTCAAATAAGTCTATACCAGGACCCTCCAGCCCAGTCTGGAAGCCTATAGGGAGTGTGGGGTACTTCTTTGGACACCCCTTGGAGGGTCCTGGTATACTGTCTATACATGAATATGCCAGAAATGCATTAACTCAGTCCTTAGGATTCTGTGGTATTCTGGGTATGGTTTGCTCACCGTGTATAATTCGCCATACATACGTAAGACATCGTAAGACAGCTTTCAAAGACATGTGGGCTCGTAATGGAATATGCTTCACAAAAACTGCCCAGTGTTCAGATTCTGCTTGACGAAAAGCTCCAGTGGATACCCCGCTACCAGCCCCACTCCATCCCCTGAGCTCAAGGCTGGATCTTGGTACGTCCTGACGAGCTTGGTACGTGCGGTACGTGCGGTGTCCAGTCCACAACTGCGGGTCCATGGAGGGCCATGGGGTGGAAAATAGGTGTCCATCATGGTGTCCACCCCCCTCTACCAGCCAAAACAACACGAAACATAACCCTTCCACTCGTTGTTTTGAGCTGTCTCACATCCGAAGTCGAAGGTGCTTGGGGGTGGGGGCCAGGAAAAGTCTGTCCCTGCCTTCTGAGGATGTGGGAGCCCTCAGGTTCTACATTAGGGTGGTTTTAGGGGTCAATGTATGGAGCATATACCATACATGGAGCGTCTGGGAATGATACAAGAAGAAAACAGTTGATATGTATCATCAAAGTCACGACAATCAGTTCTCTAATATCTCTGTGCATCATGAGTTGTTTCAAGGATGATACAGAGAGAAAATGGGTTGATCATAGACCCTGCAACTCAGCACATGCACCGAAGTCTGGGATCTTCTAACTCCCTGGGTGATCGCCCAAGCGCAGGTCGTCGTCTGGTCGTTGGAGTGAAGTCTGCAGCGTGGTTTGCATGGGTCGACTGATGCGAACACGTTTTCAGTATTGTAACATCCCCAGGGCTCCTGGCCCATATCCTGAAGCTGGTTAGACCCCGCTGGCACCCACCGCACCCACCTTCTGGGGATGTGGGCAAGGAGCCCATGATGCAGAACGTGGCGACGCCATTCCATGCCACACCCACGAAACAACCGTGGCTGCGTTTTCACTGCCGCTTTATAGTGGGTCCCCCCGAAACCGACCTCAGTGAAGAGGTAGGAGGCCTTGCCGGTGCTGGGCGCCGGGGATGGAGTGGAGACCATGGTGTTGTTCGCACCGCACGAGCGGCGTTGGGAGCGGTGCTGGGAGCAGCCATGCAAACTCTCAGCGGCCAGGAACGAAGGAAGGACGGTTCAAAAGGACGATTCAGCGGTGAACTGAGGGGTGGGACTTTCGGTTGAAAAACTGGAGGGACTTGGGGGACACGAAGAGAGAGGTGTAAATAGACTTTTGAGATTACTTTTGGGGAATGTGTTTTATGATGCATTATTGATGATTATATTATTTGTTTAAATACGAAACACTCCTCTCTGCACTACACCCCAAAACCTGTAGTGATGGGCTGACGGTTTCAAAGGACTCGCCTTTTCGTGAGAAAGTCAGGGTGGTTGACCTATCATTCAAGATTCGATAGAAATTGGTGGTTTCACGGCGTTAGATGTTCATCTGAGACTCGAAGCTTTCCAAAGCCTGAATTTTTGTGGGAGCCAGGTAAACTTATTCCTCTGCAAGCCATCTGGTCAAAAGGTTCACAAGTGCGAAAACAGAACGCCAGTTTTTGAACTTCCGAAACGCCTGTTGTTGAACTTCCAACTTTCCTCACTGAACACATAGAACCTGATTGACCCCTGTTTTAGTGCCCAAACATGGTCCAACTTCCTAATTACAAAACACGGTCAACACATTATCAAAACGGAGATCACCCGAACACTCCATGGGACTTGCATATTTACCGATCAGTTGGGGTGGTAGGTTTTAGGGGTCAATGTATGTAAATATGCCAGTCCCATGGAGTGTCTGGGTATAGACAATCTGACTGGTGTGATGAAAGCAGGGAATGAGCAACCCCAACAACAAAGATACAGTCTACCATGATCCTCAATACTTGGGTTCTTTTCACTGCAGCTGACCTTCTCCGTGCTCAGCCGTTCCAAGACTCCTCCCGGCGTGGAACGGATCCCGCTCCAGCGGAGCAGGGGGGTTCGTGGGCGACCCGAAAAAGGGGACTTATATAGACGAAACAAAAAGATTACGTCTTGAAAGAATCAAGGATGTGGATATATGTGGATGCCTTGTGAACGCCTTAAATCTTACACTTGAGCCTTACACCCCACCTGTTTTGAACCCCTCTTGGAAAAAGGGCGGGTGAACTCCACCTCCATGTGGAGAATTTTTTCTCGGAGACTGGTGGGACAGGAGCTGTAGGGTTGGTGAAGAACCCGGCCACTTCTTCGAATCAGCACCCCTGCCGCACGCGGGTGATTCTGGTTCTTCAAAGTGACCGTTCAACACATGTCGTCCGTTCTTCATCCGCAGGTTCAGCTGGTCACGAAGAGACATGTACAGATGGGACTCCCAAGTTGGTCACTTTAAAGAAATTGGTCTCTCAAGAGAGGTAGCCTGTGACCTTGTAGGGCCATAACCTGGGGTACCCTCGCCTTGGGATCGAACCATCGGCTTCTGAAAAAGACCTCTGTTCGTTCGGGTGGCCCCAGTTCTGCCTGCACGGCGGTCATCACTTCCAGCAGACTCTCCATAAGCACCACACCCTGCAGGTGGACAGAAAAGGCCACATCAAGAAACAAAAAGACCCCCCAGGCATCGCGTTGCTGTACGTCCTCACCTGCTTCAAGACGCGTGCAAACTGGACATCAGGACCAAGAAAAGGCGAAAAACACACAAAGGCAACACATCACATCAAACAACAACAACAACAACA